TTTCTCCAATTACTTTTCCAGGATGACGCTGCACAATTAAAGCTGTTAATAAATTTCATAATTTCTGATTAGACCTGAAGATTGGAGGGCTCTTTCATCATTGTCCCATCATGCCATTTACCAATGGCACCTGCTTCAAGCCATGGGTCTTCACTCTCATTGGAATTCCAGGCCTTGAATCAGTGCAACACTGGGTTGGGATTCCATTCTTCATTTCTTTTATTCTGGCCACCTTTGGAAATGCTCTGCTTGTCACCATCATTCGCATTGAGCACAGTCTCCATGAGCCCATGTATATATTTTTAGCTGTATTAGCCGCTACTGACCTAGGCCTGACCTTCTGCATTACCCCTAAAATGCTGGCCATCTTTTGGCTTCAGTCAAGAGAGATTCACTTTGACTCCTGTCTGATTCAGATGTATTTTACACATACTTTCCAGTGTATGGAGTCTGGCATTCTCCTGGCCATGGCCTTTGACAGATATGTGGCTATCTGTGAGCCCTTAAGGCATTCTGCCATTCTCACTAAGAAGGTACTAATCACCATTATAATGGCAGTGACCATTCGAGCCTCCATCATCATCATCATGTGTCCACTTCTAATTAAGTTGCGCCTCAAGCATTTCCAGACCACAGTCATCTCGCACTCCTACTGTGAGCATATGGCTGTGGTAAAGCTGGCTGCAGAAAATGTCAGAGTCAACAAAGCATATGGACTGTTTGTGGCTTTCTCAGTCCTTGGATTTGATGTGATCTTCATTTTCTTATCCTACGCCTTCATCTTCCAGGCTGTGTTTAAGTTGCCACAGAAGGAGGCACGATTCAAGGCATTCAACACCTGCACAGCCCACATCTTTGTCTTTCTTCAGTTCTATATTCTCACATTTTTTACATCCTTCATACACAGATTTGGCTTCAATGTTGCTCCCTATGTGCATATTCTGCTGTCCAACCTTTACCTGCTTGTTCCGCCGCTGCTTAACCCTATTGTCTATGGAGTGAAGACCAAACAAATCCGGGAGGGAGTGATCAAAATGTTCACTCGCAAGGGTTGAATTCATAAGCTCTCCAATTCCTCATTTTGTTTATGATAATCTGCATAGTGATCTTGTCATGTGGGGTAATACTATGATAATCCTTATATTATTTTAATTTTCATGGGCTGGAACAGATTTCACAAATAAAATTACAGATAATCCATATACACATTTTCGATAAAATTTCAGTTATGTAATCAAAACTGATAATGCTTTCTATAACTTTGTTTAACTTTTGAACATTCTCTAACCTTGGAATAGGATCAGTTTTGGAAAACATTACCCTATGTTTTATGCATTTTATCCAATGATATTGGTACAAGTTATTCTCATACTTTCTAACACTAGTTTCTAAACTATGAGTCATGATAAAACGTTCATATTTTAATGTTTAGTAAACTCTAAATACAGTAAAGCTTTATTAAATATTACATGTTTTCATGTAACATGATAGATTGAATATATATATATATATATATATATATATATATATATATATAT